GAGGAGGAGGAGGAAGAGGAGGAGGAGGGGGAAAAGGATGAGGAGGAGGAGGAGAAGGAGGAGGAGACAAGGAGGAGGATGACAAAATGGAAGAGGCAGGATGATGATGATATTGGTGATGATGAGGATGAGGATGAGGAGGAGGAGCAGGAAGAGGAGGAGGAGGAGGAGTAGGAGGAGGAGGATGCAGAGGGATAACTAGTACTAAGAAGAATAATGCCACGATGAAGAAGGAACACATAATAATACTAAACTAAGAAGAATTCAAATACTAAGAAGGATCATACTAGGACGAATAAGAAGAATACTACGAATAACCATAACGACAATACTACTGATAATACTAACAATACTAATATGAAGCATACTGCTAATACGAACCGTAATAATAATGGTGATAAGAAGACGAATCATACTATGATGAATAAGAAGGGTACTACTACGAGCAGTAAACTTACGAAGATACTAAGAATACCATAATACTATTATTAGAGCAGTTCAAAAACTAAGGCTGCGAGTGCTACCACCACGAATAATAGTACGATTAACACGAAGAATGCGACTATTACTACTAATAAATATAAGATGAACACTACTGATAATAAGAGGAGTAACACTACTACTACCATACTACTACTACTACTACTACTACTACCACCACTACTACTACCACTAATACTACTACTACCACTACTACTACTACTACTACTACTATTACTACTACTACTACTACTGCTACTACCACTACTATTTATTATAATTCTTCTTCTTCTTCTACTTCTACTACTATTACTACTACTACTACTACTACTACTACTACTACTACTACTACTACTACTACTACTACTACTTCTACTACTACTACTACTACTACTACTACTACTACTACTACTACTACTAAACGTAACAATGCTAACAATGGTATTCGTATTAAGTTTAGTACTATCTTAGTACTACTAATATCAGTACTATCAACAACACTAATAATTCCGATCATACTAAGAACAAGAAGAAGAGGAGGAGGAAGAGGAGGAGGAGGAGGACGAAGAGGCGGTCGATGAGGAGAACCAGTCGGCGGAGCACGTATCATCGGTTTGGCTTCCGTCGGGATGCTCTCGGGCCATTGCCCGCCCATCTTTGGAGAGTGCTGGGAGGCGCCGTGTCCATGGCGGAGAAGAGCAAGGGGGGCGGCAAGGCCAAGCTGCCCGTGAACGTCGAGTCGTTCGCTCAGCTGTCTCTCCTCCTCCTCCATCTCCTCCTCCTCCTCCTGGCGTTTTTTGTTGTGGGCTTTTTTTCCCCCCGTTTTTTGTTTTGTTTTGTTTTTTTCCGCAGCTGGCGTTTTCGGTCAATTTGGGGCCCCAGGGCCCTCACATATTGATCCAGCTCAAAGCCTGATGCCGACATCAGGGGTCCAGGGCGGCTCTGGTCGTGATTATTTGCGACGTTGCGTTTGTTTTGCAACGTCGGATCTCAGGGCTCGAATAGGGGATCACCTACATAATTGATCTGCTCCAAACTTGGTATTGCCGCCGAATCCGTGCGACACGCGCAGAACGTTCGCAGGTCCGCGGGGCATCGGCGGGGAGGTCCATGCTGGGGGTGGATCCACTCTGCAGTCGCTCCCCGACTCGAAGGGCCCGCCTCCCCCCACTCGCCGCCAGGTCCCTCGCCGGTCCTCCTCCTCCTGCTCCTCCTCCTCCTCTTCCTCCTCCCTCCTCCTCCTCCTCCTCCTCCCTCCTCCCTCCTCCTCCTCCTCCTCCTCCTCCTCCTCCTCCTCCTCCTCCTCCTCCTCCTCCTCCCTCCTCCTCCTCCTCCCAGCCCCGCCGCGCGGCCCGCCAGGCCGCGCCCACCCACCTCGCCGCGCCTGGCTGGGCCGACCCTCGGCCCCGGGGGGCTGGGCCCAGCCGGGCGCGGCGAGGCGGGGCGCGGTCGCCCACCCCCTCGGAGAGCCCAGGCTTCGTGCGCGACAACTCGCGGCGGGCGTCTCTTGCCCCAGCTCGTCGGGTGCTTCTGGAATGAAGTCGGGCATGCCCCTCTGCAGGAGGGACATTCAAGCATAGCCAACAAATGGTCTAAAACAAAGAAGGAATGAAAAGAACATTTCCGACCATGTCTTACTTTTCGTCCGAAGTCCGCCTGTAGGGGGACATGCCCGACCTGATGCTACAGGTCTCCTGGCCCAGGGTGCCCCCAGCTGTCCGCTCCTCTTTGGAGCCCCAGGGGGCCCTCTGAGCCTCGTGATGGGGTGCTCTGGATTGGAGGCCGTCCAGCCCCCCCCCCCCCGAGACTTCTGCGGGGCAGAGCCACTTCTAGCAGCGCTCGATGTCGTGCCGCAGGACCGGCGAGGTGCATCGCAGTCATTGTCCCCCGGGAGCCTGGGCGCCCCGAGCAGACTCGCGACGGGCGTTTTTTGCTCCTCCGAGGAGGAGCAGGAGCAGGAGCAGGAGGAGAATAGGAGGAGGAGGAGGAGGAGGAGGAGGAGGAGGAGGAGGAGGAGGAGGAGGAGGAGGAGGAGGAGGAGGAGGAGGAGGAGGAGGAGGAGGAGCAGGAGCAGGAGCAGGAGCAGGAGGAGGAGGAGGAGGAGGGAGGAGGAGGAGGAGGAGGAGGAGGAGGAGGAGGAGTAGGAGGAGGAGGAGGAGGAGGAGGAGGAGGAGGAGGAGTCCTTCTCGTGCCGCAGGGCCGACGAGAGGTGGATCGTAGCGCCGCTGCCCCCCGGGGTGAGCCCGCGCGCCGTGGGCAGCACCGCGGCGGGCGTCTTGGGCAGCACCTCGTGCCGCGGGGCCCTCGCGCCCCCCCCCCCGGCCCCGGAGGCTGCGGCAGGATGCGGCGCGGCGCGTTGCGTCGTGGCGTCTGCTCTCGGGGCTCCCGAGATCCCCGAGATGCCTGCGCGCGGGGGGGGGGGGAGCGGAGGACGGCGCGCGCGGGAGCGCGCGAGGAGGAGGGGGGGAGAGTGCGGACGAGGCGGCGGAGGAGGAGGAGGAGGAGGAGGAGGAGGAGGAGGAGGAGGAGGAGGAGGAGGAGGGAGGAGGAGGAGGAGGAGGAGGAGGGAGGAGGAGGGAGCGGGGAAGGAGAGGGAGTGGGGAGGAGGAGGAGGTCTCCACGGTGCACTTGCTGTGGCTGGCCTCTGCTCCTCATCATGTTTCTTCTGACTGGTCTTGGAGCACGCTGTTTTCATTGTCATCTATTGGTCCACCATATCCATTGTTCTCCGAGACAGACCGTGGTTTGGTGGTTGTCTGAGTGGTTGGTCACCATGTATGACGTACTGACTTTGCGTTCCTGGTGCCCGCACCGACCTGGCTCTTGGATTCTATGGAGATGGAGTCTTGCTTTTGATATTGCATGTGTCCGCAGCGTTGTCGGCACCCGCGGGGTATTTTTTTCCAGGCTGGTGTGGGTGTGGCCTCCTGGTGCCAATCAGCAGCTCAGCTCCGCTGTCATGGGTTCCCACAGTGTCGGTGGAGTTCTTCTTGAGGCTTGCCAGGGGCAGGTTGCTGCTTACCTCTAGCTCATCAGCATGTGATTCTGCACGAGGCTGTGGCCCTCCGGTGTCAATGGCGTGGCGTGCTGGTAGGGTCGGCGGCGGTTCCTCATCAGCTGGCGCGTGCGCCTCGTCTTCTTCCTAGTCCTCCTGGTGTCGGAGCAGCCGTCCCACGGCTCGGCGTCGTCAGCCTGTGCTGTTGAACGTGGCTGGCTTGGCTGAGTGCCCCAGGGTGCAGCTTCCTCGCATCAGTGTCTCGGGGAACGGGTTTGGTTGGCGTTCGGCTTCCTCGTGCATTGGTGTCTGAATTTCGATGTTCTGGAACCTTGGGGGAGGTGTGGTCTGCTTGACCTGTCTTTTCCAGATGCATTGAAGCATTGAAGAGGAGGAGGAGGAGGAGGAGGAGGAGGAGGAGGAGGAGGAAAACAGGCCAAGGCGTTTAGCGCGGCCACGGACAGGGAGAGCTCATGCCCCACCCAGCGTGCGCGCATTGCGGTGAAACAAACACTGTCTGGATGGGTCCTTGACCAGGCCGCTCGTATCGGTGCCCTGGCACACCGTCGCCGCCATGTCCTTGCGGAGGCCAGTGATGTAGATGTTCAACTATGAATGTCTATGCCGATTTATGTTTTCAGGGTGCAATATCGCACTGTTTGGAGTGCCTGTTGGTAAACATGCAATTAAGACGCTCAGATAAGGACCGCTGGGCTCAGTGGTAGCTTTGCTTTTCGGGCATCTCCTTGGGTACAGGTTGTGTAGCTTGTTCGAGGCTTAGGCGCACCTTGGCCAGAAAGCCGCTTTGTTTTTCATTCAGCGTTCAGGATGGTAGCATGATGGCTGTATGCATGCGTACATATACATATAGCTAGTGTGCGTATATAGATGTTTTGGGAGGGAGGTGCAGGACACCCACGCGGGGACGTGGTGCCCAACGCATCTGGGCTCGATACGTCGGCTGGAACAACACTAGTCATCGGCAAATGCTTGACGCCCAGATCCCAATATATTTTAGGCTTCCTGTTTCAGGAGCCGAGCGGTTGTCCCTCGTGCCTCCTTCTCAGGGGGCGGGCGGAACCCCCCCTTTACTTTTGTCCCCTGTGTATTTCCTGTTTGTGTACCCATCTCTTCTGGCCGATGGGTGTAAAAGAGTAATATCGGGCTTGGCGACGCTTTTTGACGAGCGCGTATCGGAATTGACGGTCCAATTTTCGTGGGATGTTTACAGCGGGAGCTCGCGTCAAATTTCAGATTGGATCTCGTCATTTTCATGATGGCCCCGCCATGCCAACCCGAGTCCCCCGAACCCGAGTCCTACGTCTCCCCGATAATCGCATTCTTGAATTCACGGCTTCGCTGGGGCAAGCGCAGCGGGGACGGACACCGGGCTTGACTTTGCAGGCGATGCAGAGCACCGACGTGTATTTTTTCGGGTGTTGCGAGCGTAGTGTAACAACGACCGACGCTCACCAACCGCTGTAGGCGCGGTTGTAGACTCGTGGCCCATAGCCATTCCGGCGCAAGGCAGAGTGGCGGTTGACCCATTACCGCCCTCGTTGCCCACTTGACAGATTCAAGATTCAAAGCTGCTTCCCCCCCGATACTTCGGAACCGTACCCCGATTCAAGATGTGCCAGGACAGCCCCGCGTGCTCCTCCGGCGACGCCTTGGACCCCCCGTCCAGCAACGCCTCGCCGCGCTCGCCGCTGAAGCCCGCGGGCGGCTTCAATTGCCGCCGGGACCGGCGCCAGCGCTTGCAGGGCCTGCACTGCTACCTGGCGAGGAATTCCTGGGCGAAAGAGATATCCGTGTCCGCGACCTCGTGGAGACGGGATTTTCATCCCCTGCCGACAACGGGCGTGACCGTGGGGGAGAGGGGGGGCGGAGGGGAGCTGGTCGCGTCACGACTGGCGCCGTCGCCGTCTGGGAATGCCAAGGAATGTTGAATCCCCAGGCGAGACCATGGCGGGGGGATGGGGGGTTGCGGGGCCGGTCACACGCGTCATCGCGAGTACAGTGAGCGGCTTGACTAAGGAACACTTACTTTTCAAAAGGGGCTCGGTCGTTCCTTAGATTTTACATGCGTTATTTTCAGTTCCTTATGCGTTATCCATTCTTTATCGTTCCTTATGCGTTATTCCTTGGGATAAAAGGGGCTTCGTTCCTTATTTATCGTTCCTTAGGTCAGGCCGATGACTGTAGTAGAAAACAAGCTCGTTGGTCGGGCCTTTGGCCGCGACCGCGCGGGTACGGGGCGCTTTTTGGCGGGTGCCCCGCGCGGGACGGCTCCGTGCGACCTCGAGCCTCGGAGTCCAGACCGCGAGGGCGTGGATCCAGATACGTTTGCTGGTCGCGAGGACCGTCGTGACGGTTGCGGCGTCGGCGGCCATGCTCGAGGCCATGCCAGAGGGCCAGCCTGACGGCGGCGGATCCACGGGCACCTCGTTCGCGAGCTGCTCGTTCCTGAAGGACCGCAGGGGAGGGGCCCTCGTCGGGCGGGGGCAGGGCGGAGGGGTCGCTCCGGAGCCTTCCAGGACGCTCTCCGAGCGTTCTGGAGAGCTCTGAGAAGGCCGCGGCGCCCGATACCTCCTCCGGAGTCGCTGGATCTCAGAGGTCCCTGGTTTGTCGATGTCCGATTTTGCTCCCGTCCTTGTACCAGCTTGAGGCATGCCGATCTTCAGGGTTCCCTCCGCTTCTGAGGGCATATCCCTAAAATTGTCATCGCCTGAGGCTTGCCGATCCCAGAGATCGGGATAAGTTTGAGGCTGGTTATCGGGTGGCGAAATGTATACATATCCGCTGCCCCTGGCCAGGCCCTTCCTGGGCCCAGGAACTGTGTGTACGCCCCCCTCGGGCAAGCCAGGAGGGCGTACCGCTGTTGGGCTCAGGACAGGCGCGGCCAGGGAGCAGTGGATATGTATATAGACTTCGTCGACCTATTGTTAGTCTTGGCCTCGTCTCGCCCTCGGGGTCCAGCTCGGGGATGTGCACGGGTCGGACATGGCTAAGACGAGGATAAATCCCTTCCAGAGCGTTCCCGAACGCTCTCGGAAGAGCGTTCCGGAGCGCCCAGAGAAGGCCGCGGCGCCCGAGACATCCTCCAGAGCCGCCTGTGGTTCGGGCGCGGCTCGGGCGCGGCTCGGGCGTGGTCTGGGCGTGGTCCGGGCGCGGTCCGGGCGTGGTCCGGGCGCGGCTCGGGCGCGGCTCGGGCGCGGCTCGGGCGCGGCTCGGGCGTGGTCCGGGCGTGGTCCGGGCGCGGCTCGGGCGCGGCTCGGGCGCGGCTCGGGCGTGGTCCGGGCGCGGTCCAGGCGCGGCTCGGGCGTGGTCCGGGCGTGGTCCGGGCGCGGCTCGGGCGCGGTCCGGGCGCGGCTCGGGCGCGGTTGGGGCGTGGCTCGGATCCCGGAGCTGCTCGATTCGTGTCCTCGCCCGCTCTGCTCTGCGTCCTGGCCTCGGCTCCGTGGGGGGGGCCGCGTGCCTGGGCGCAGGCCGTGGCGGGAGGCGAGGGCCCTGCTCGTGCCGCGCCGGGGGGGGGGGCGTGGGGCCCGTGGTCGGACACTGAAGCATCGCGGGCGATGTTTCTCCCCCAATCCCCGAGTTTCGCCCGAAAAGTCTGGCCGCTCAGAAGAATGGGAAAACCTTGGGATACACCCCAAGGGGGCTATTCGGACGCACCCCTATCGAGAATGGACACCCCCCCATCGTATATCCCAGGGTTAGGCCCCAAATTTCTGGTCCATTCGGAATCCCCACGAAGCCTGGGATAGGGGTCGACATATCCCCTGTTAAGCATCTACTTGTGGAAGTCGATTAATTCAAGCAGCGGCGAAGCGTCCTGGCTCGCCTATAGCCCTACCAAACAATGTTCTAAGAACCTTCCGTGGTTTCCAGGAAATGTTCTTAGAACATTTCTGGCTGGGACTGTCTTGTTTTAACACATCGGGTTTATGTTCTAAGAACATTGTGTTTTTGTTCTTAGAACATTTTTGGGTTCTAAGAACATTTCGTGGTAGGACAATAGGAATGTCGGGGCGGTCGGTCCCTGCTCAATAAATGGAGAGGAAGCATGCTCGGAAACTGGAGCATATACATTCCCAGTGGAAGGCGGTTTTTCAATCCCAGGACTCTTTTGAGGGTCGGGGGCGACGTCGGTGTGATGTGGTGTATACTTTTTTTTCCCCGTTCTCCCAGGGAAGCAACGAAGAATCTATACACCAGGATCCCGTATACACCAGGACTCGCTTTCCTGTGCTAGATTCGGTGTGAGGCCGGACAAAGGCGTCGGTGTATATTACATGCTGCCAAATAATTTCCAGATGTCTAAAACATGTTTCAAACATGTTTAAAACATGTAAACACGTGTTCGAAACATGTTCAGGACATGTTTACACATTTGAAACATATCTTTAATTCAATGATAGGATAGTCAGAGTGTCCATTGTCATGGCATCCACAAACATACGCATTACCAGTGGTAGGCGGTTTTTCGATCCCAGGGCTTTCTTGAGGGTCGGGGGCGACGTCGGTGTGGTGTTGTGAATATTTCTTTCCCCGTTTTCCCAGGGAAACAACGAAGAATGTATACACCAGGATCCCATATACACCGAGACCCGCTTTCCTGTGCGAGATCCAGTGTGAGGCTCGACAAAGGCGTCGGTGTATAGAGTTCGGCTCTTTACATGCTGCCACATACTTTCCAGATGTCTAAAACATGTTTCAAGCATGTAAACACATGTTTCAAACATGTCTAGGTCATGTTTTACGCATTTTAATTTTTTCAATTCAATGATAGGGTTGTTAGAGTGCCCACTGTCATGCCATCCACAAGCATATACATTACCAGTAGCGGGCTGTTTTTCGATCCCAGGACTTCACGACGCTGGGGTGGTGTGGTGTACACTTTCTTCCCCGATGTCCTGGGGAAACAACGACACACGTATACACCAGGGTCCCGCATACACCAGGATCCGCTCTCATGTGCAAATTCCAACGTAGGGCCAGAAGAAGCGTCGGTGTATAGAGGTCGATTCCCTACTTGGGGCTGCGCGCTGGTCAGCCCCAGTGAGCCAGCGGCGCGCCGAGGGGGGAAGGTCGGGACAGTCGGCCCGCAGAGTAAGGACGGGCAGCCTTCCTCAGGCGATCGCAACCATTGGCGACATGTCCTCTTTCCGTGGGAAATCGCGGATTTCCGCCGCCGAGCGAGGCGGCACCGGCCGCACTTTGGGGAGGGCACCTCCCTCGATCCATGGATTAGTGGACCGCGCGTCAGATCCATGGAGCGCTACTCCACGTTTGCGCGCCCCCGACTTCCCAACGGTACCCTCGCATCCGTGCCTCCTCGCTCCCTCCTTGGCCACTTTCGTTGGCCGGGTCCCGCTCGAGAAGCTTCAAAATGGGGGGGTCCAAGGCCCTTGCATCCTCACCCCGCACATCCTTCTGAGACGGGCCGGCGGTATCGGGTATCGTTTGACCGACGGCGGGTCGAGCTTTTTCGAGCAGTGGCGAAGCGTCCTGGCTTGCCTGTAGGCCCACCACAGAAGAATGTTCTACGAATGTTCTGTGGTCTCCACGAAATGTTCTCAGAACATTTCTGGCCGAGACTGTCTTGTTATCACCCGTCGGGTCTGTGTCCTAAGAACATGGTGTTTGTTCTTAGAGCACTCTTGGGTTCCAAGAGCATGTCGTGGCAGGTCTATAGGAATGCCGGCCGGGACGGTCGGTCCTTGCTCAGCTCTCAGAAATGTCAGCTGCAAGCTGTCGGCTCGGCTGAGACACTGGCCCTCTCCGCCGCTCCGTTGTCGGTTCGGAGCTTTCCCGTGCAGATCTCCGCCTCTCTCCCTCCCCTTCCTTGAGCATCGCTTCGCCGACCCCTCCTCCCCATCCTCCGTCCCCATCCAGACCTCCACCCCGCCCTCCGTCCCCATCCAGACCTCGGTTCCCACGGACAGGTATCCCGTTCCCACGGACAGGTATCCGTCCCCATCCTCCGTCCCCATCCAGACCTCCCCTCCTCCCCATCCTCCGTCCTTGAGTATCGTTTCGCCGACCCCTCCTCCCCATCTGGCCCCCCCCCCGCCAGTTGGGGATGTCCGCCTCGAAGGTCCGAAGGGAACGGCCCACGTCCCCATCCTGCGGAGTAAGTCGGTCCGTGGGGCCCGGGCGCCACGCTCATGGGGATGGGGGTCGGTTGACCGATGCTCAAAGAGGGGGAGGGCAGGCCCAGACCCCCTCGAGCCGTGAACATTCCGGAGGGAACAAGCACACACACAGACACAAGCAATCGTCGATTCCCCAGAAAATATGGGAAAGTATGGGAAGTGGGGGGGCATACAAGAAAACAAGGGGAAATATGGGGAGTCCTGTTATTTGTGTCTACCTATTTGTGTCCCAGGGCCCCTTCAGAAATGTCACGACGGAAGGCTTTTTCGCAATTTTCGGCTTCTGGGGGCCTTACGGGGCCTCGGGACCGTCAGAAACGACTCAGGATGAAACGCCGGACCCAGGGAAGGTGTCCAGAACTCGGGGGGTCGACGCTTATGTAAAGACCATGACGCCGGGGGTCCAGGGGGGGGGGAAGCTCTACGTTGTCTGAAGTCGGGCCTGTCCCTCTACAGGGGGAACGTTCAAAAACAGTAAAAAAGTACTCTGGGGACGATTTTTGGACTGTTTTTGATCATGTTGGGGGTATTTTTCTGACGACTTTGGCTTTTTCGTCCACAATCGGCCTGCAGGGGGACGTGCCCGACCCAGACGTTGTCCGAGGTTTCCGTCGCTTCCCGCCACTGCTCCGGCCTCGGGGTGCCCTCCAGCAGCCGCGCCCCGCCGTGCATGGGCTGCCTGGCTCGTGCGGTCGCCAGGGTCGGAGGCGAGCGGGGGGGGGGGGCAGTGAGGAGGAGAATGCCCCTCTCTCAGAAGGCGGCGGGACTCCTCAGAAGCCCTCGCGCCCTCTGAGAAGTCTTCTGTTCTGTCCTCGGGGAAGGCCTGGAGAACTTCTCAGAGGTCCCGGGAAGGAGCGGTATGCGTACCGGTACGTTTTGGTTTCGGGGAGTACTCCAAAGTAGCGGTATCGGTAATGGTCCTGGGAGAGGTCCAGGGAGTAGCGGCATCGGCACCTCTTGGTTTCCGCGAGAAGGCGGCGGGGCTGCTCAGAGGCCCTCGCGCCCTCCGAGGGGCTTCTGGCGACTTCTGGGAGGGCTCGGGGCGCCTCTCAGAAGTCCCCGGGAGCTTCCGAGCCTTCTGAGAAGGCCTTCTCCTTCCCCTTTCCCCCCTGGGCACGCCGCCGACGGGGGGCCCGAGCCATGGCCCCGAGCACCAGGTTCGGCGGCGCGCCCGGGGGGGAGACGGCAGAGGGGGCGGCTGGGCGGCGCGCAACGTCGGGCCGGACGAAGGGGGGGGGATTGGGAAAGGGGGGGTTACTCTAGGCCTCCTAGATTCGGGGGTGGACAGAACCCCCAACAGTGACACGTCGATTAGTGAATTGTCCGTTTTCGTTTCTCGAGAGGGCGCCGTGGCCGTTATTTTCCAGGCTTGCGCCCGCCAGGTTTGGGCCGCAGGTCGTTTTCACTAAACCACGTTTAACTAAAGGGGAGTCTGTCCATCCCCGATAGATGGGGTCGAAGAAGATGGGGTCGGAAGATCGCGCCGCATCATGCCGGCCGGTGCATGGCCGGTGCATCGCCGATGCATGGCCGGTGCATCGCCGATGCATCGCCGATGCATCGCCGATGCATCGCCGATGTATCGGCGATGTGGGGCGATCCTCCGACCCCATCTACTCCGACCCCATCGAGGAGGCCACTAGTTACGAAATCTGCTGCATGCAGCTGGTTTCGGCCCCACCGAGGGGCCCATTCCTCGATACGTGGCCGCCTCCGGCGCCGGGTGACGCCGGGAAAGTCAGCTACGTAAGCAGATTCTCAACCCCCCCTTCGCTGTCCCCCCCTTTCGCCCGGCCCGAGAGGGGACGGCTGGGCGTCGCACCATGGTCGCCGAGCGCGTTCCACTACTCGCAAAGTGCCTACTCGCGGACGTCCGAAGAACCATGCGTCAGACTTAGTAGTGCAGCAGATCGTAAAATCCCCCGCGGCGGAGATCCAGGCCATTTGCGAGTCGTTACTCTGCGAGCAGTGGGGCGCGCTTGTCAGAATGGGGGGGCGCTGCACGGGGGAGGCAGCGAGAGCTGCAGACAAAAGTTAGGGCCTGAAGGGTGACCTTCAGGGCACGGGAAGTGCGCCTCTCTCTTCCCCCCCTGGATCGCCCCCCCACCTACAGTGCCGTTTTTAGTACATGCCCCGCGTGCGGATCATGCATTATACATGCAGGGTTTAGTATTAAAAACAAAGATGATTTCATGCATACTTTTGTTCATACATTGATCATGTATTAAAGTCCAATATTTTTTAAACATCCTATGTATTAAGAACTGCCCTGTAGTCAGAAAGACAGTCATCGGGTTGGGAGAGAGGAGGATCTCATGAACCGCAGGCGGTCGAAGGCATCGTGCATGGCATCCAGATGCTAGTGCTCCTGCCCTTCGTCCGCCCAGCCCCTTCCTCCCATCACGGTGCTTGCTCCCCTCAAGAAATGCCCCAAAAAGGTGAACAAGATACACAAACAACAGTCCCCCGACTATTTCTGGATTATTTTTTTTTTTTTTTTTTTTTTTTTTTTTTTTTTTTTGTTTTTTTTTTTTTCTCTATTTTTCGTCGAAGATCCCCCTGTGGGGGGACAGGCCCGACTTAATCCCAGTCCCTTCCTCCCAGCTTCCCCTCAATCCATCGACGCCCAAGGCGAGCTGGAGGGCTCCGGAGAAGCCCCACCGCGCTCTGAGCAGGCCTGCCCCCTCGCGTCGCTCGGAGGCGCCTGCCAGCGGGCTTCGCTGGACGAGGCTGGTCTCGCTGGACCCCAGGCCCGACCTGACGCCCCCCGGCTTGACCCGAGGCGCCCCGGCAGCCGTCGACTTCTCCCTTCCCGAGCCAGATCTTCTCGCCGGTCGGCCCCCTCGAGCCGTCTTGAGCGCCTCCTGGGGCCGTCCTAGAGCCCCCCTGGGCCGCCTCGGGGCCCTTTGGTGACCCTGTTGGGCCGTCTTGGAGCCCTCTTCGGGGCATTGGAGGCCGTCTTGGGCTTTCGGATGCCAGAAGTGGCCAGCACGTTAATATCTAATGAAACCCTTTGGGAACAAAAACATTGCGTTTTGCTCTCCGACGACGACCCACCGATCGACCGGCCGATCGGACCCCTCTCGGCGTGCCGCCGGCCAGAGGACCTCGTCGCCGACGTCCCCGTGCTGCTGCGCTCGGTGCTCGGGAGCGACAGAAGGAAGTACTACGTTGCATCTTCGGGGGACCCCGCCTGTCCCCAAAATTGGTGTCTTTTTTTGTGCTTGGCGCGGGCTCGATGCGGCCTCGATGCGGATTTGGCGGGCATTCGACGCGGATTCGACACGGATTCGACACGGATCCGACGAGGCCGACATGGATTCGACACGGATTCGACGCGGATAGGGTCGCGACGGGACAGACGAGGTCCCCCGAGGATGCAATGCAAGAAGTACGCGCACACGAACCCACGCCGGCTTCGAAAGCACGCACTGCGCGAACGCTCGTACCGCGAGGTTGGTCTCGCAAGCAAAGGCATTCAAGGTTGGACTCTGCGCCCTTGCCCTGCGCGCTTTCACCCAGGGCCATGGTTCGCCACAGGACCGGACGGACTCCAACCCTCAATGATTGGGGCCGCGATCGATTCAAGGCTGAACGATCGACGCGGTGCCCAAACGGACCTCTGCGCGCGCTAACGCCCACGAGTCCACCGTGCGTCTTTCGTGGGCTCCCGCGTTGGGAGTGGGTCCACTATATGCCCGCGCAGCTTCCGCCGGATTCCTAGGACCTGCCTCATGCTTTCTTCGCGCTCGTTGACGGCCGAAAATGACAACAATCTTCGTTCGGGGGGAGGCTCAGGGTGGGGGGAGACATGAGGCAGGAGGGAAAGAAACACACAGACACAATTAATCGTCGACTCCCAGTAAATTATGGGAACATATGGCAAGTGTGTGTGGGGGGGGAAGACAAAAACCCAGAACATATAGGAAAGTATGGGGAATCCTGGGATTTGTGTGTATCTATTTGTGTGTCCCTGGGCCCCTTCAATTTGTGCAACAAGCAGACGCGGGCCATCCTGGCGGCGGTGGCGCTGGGCAGACCCACGAGCTGCCTGGCTGGCGGTCGAGACGCCCAGCTCACGGGCTCGCAGCAGAGCAGCAGAAGAGGCAGCAACACTCACTCGGCAGCCTCTCACTCGCGCCTCGGTTCTTGCAGCCTAAAAGTCGGGCGCGCCTCTCCACAGGAGGAATCTTACAAGATCGTCGAAGATCAGTCCGGGGACCATTCCCCGACGATATGTTTGACTATGCTTGAGCGTTTTATAGAGCCATTGGAGTTTGTTTCTCTTCCAATGACCCCCCTGTAGGAGGACATGCCCGACCTAATATTGTAGCCCCAGGTGCTGCGGGGCGCCGCGGCCTACGCCAGGGACTCGCTCGACGGCCTGGCCGCCGCCGCCGGCGAGCCGCCGCGCCGGCCGTTCGAGGACGCGGGCGCGCCGAGCTGGCTGCCCTGGGCCGTGGACGCCGCGATCGTCTGCGGCATTCTCGCGGTCGCCCCGGGGGGGTGCAGCTCCTAGGGCTCCGCCTGCGCCTCCTGCGCCTCTCTGCGCTGCCTCCTCCTCCCCCTCTCCCTCCCCCTCCCGCTCCCCCTCCTCTCCTCCTCCTCCTCCTCTCCTCCTCCTCCTCCTCCTCCCTCCTCCTCCTCCTCCTCCTCCCCTCCTCCCTCCTCCTCCCTCCTCCTCCTCCTCCTCCTCCTCCTCCTCCTCTCCTCCTCCTCCTTCCTCCTCCTCCTCCTCCTCTCCTCCCCCTCCTCCTCCTGCTCCTCCTCCTTCTCCTCCTCCTCCTCCTCCTGCTCCTCCTCCTCCTCCTCCTCCCTCCTCCTCCTCCTCCTCCTCCTCCTCCCCCTCCCCTCCTCCTCCTCCTCCTCCTCCCTCCTCTCCTCCTCCTCCTCCTCCTCCTCCTCCTCCTCCTCCTCCTCTCCTCCTCCTCCTCCTCCTCCTCCTCCTCCTCCTCCTCCTCCTCCTCCTCCTCCTCCTCCTCCTCCTCCTCCTCCTCCCTCCTCCTCCTCCTCCTCCTCCTCCTCCTCCTCCTTCCTCCTCCTCCTCCTCCTCCTCCTGCTGCTCCTCCTCCTCCTCCTCCTCCTCCTCCTCCTCCTCCTCCTCTTCCTCCCTCTCCCCGTCCCCCCTCCCCCCTCCTCCTCGGGCTCTCCCGAGCTCCTCCCCCTCCTCTTCCTCCTCCTCCTCCTCCTCCTCCGTCTTCACGCTTCCTCGTCGACCCTGCTGCCGCTGCTTTTACGTTGGGCAGACATCAGCGACGAGTCTGTTGCGTTTCGCTGCTGCCGCTCCACCACCTCCACCTCCTGATCCTCCTCTGCCTCCTCCTCCTCCTCCTGCTCCTCCCGCCCCTCTCTAGGCCTCCCAGATGGGGTCCGAATAGATGGGGTCGGAGGATCGCGCCGCATCGCCGATGTATCGACGATGCGGTTCGATGTGGAGCCCGAATTTCTCCACGCCGACGCCGCCGATGCATCGCCGACGTCGCCGATTCGTCACAGATTTATCGGCGATGCGACGCGATCCTCGGACTCTATCTACTGAGATCCCATTTGGGATCCCCCTATCCTCTGGCTCTCCTGGAGGGCCTCTTGGAGCCCTCGTGGGCCGTCATGGAGGCCTCTCGAGCCGTCTCGATGCCGTGTTGGTAGCTTCTTGAGCAGGGTTAGACTTAGCATCGGCGCTGGTAGAACCGTGGTCGAACACCCATCCGAATCCGGCACTGTGCCACTGAATCCCCGCCACATGCGGCTCACCCCCCCGCAGTCCCCGCCAGATCCGGCTCGACCCCGCTCACTCCTGGGCTTACTCCGGGCTGGTCTGGCCCCGTGGCCCCTTCAATCGGGCCCAAGAGCCTCTGGCCGTTCTGACCAGGGCCTCCCTGAGGTGCACCGAGCGCGCTCCACTACTCGAGAGTGCCTAGTCGCAAACGTCCGAAAACCACATGTCCCCTTCAATGCCATTTTTCGTAGGTCCCCCCCGGCGGATCCAGGCCACTTGCGAGTAGTCACTTCGCGAGTAGTGTAGTGGAACGCGCTCGTCTAGAAGTGGACTCCTTATGTTGCATCTTCGGGGGACCCCGCCTGTCCCCAAAATTGGTGTCTTTTTTTGCGCCTGGCGCGGGCTCGATGCGGCCTCGATGCGGATTTGCCGGGCATTCGACGCGCACTCGACGCGGACTCGACACGGATCCGGCGAGGCCGACATGGACTCGACACGGATTCGACGCGGATAGGGTCGCGACGGGACAGGCGAGGTCCCCCGAGGATGCAGCGCAAGACCCCCGAGGTGGTCCTGTTCGCGCTGGCCTTTGCGGCCATGCCGCGCCCCTGCGGGGGCGGCCAGGAGGCGGAGCCCGGCGGCGCCGAGGGCGCCGGGGGGCCGACGGAGCTCGCGAAGGGCGGCGCCAAGGTCCTGTCGGGCCTGTCCCCCCTGCAGGGGGCTTTTCGGCGACAAGTTAAAAACAAGGACCCTAACAATAGTAAACAAATAGTCCAACAATAGTCAAAACAAGTACCTCCGACGGGGCCGACGGAGCTCGCGAAGGGCGGCGCCAAGGTCATGTCGGGCCTGTCCCCCCTGCAGGGGGCTTTTCGGCGGCAAATTAAGAACAAGTGCCCTACAGTACCCTACAAATAGTTTCAAGCATAGTTTTAAAACATAGTTCCAAAAAAGAGAGGTTCTGTCGGGCCTGTCCCCCTGCAGGAAGCTTTTCGGCGAAAATAAAAAAAACAAAAAACTACTAAAAACATAGTCCAAAAATAGTCCCTTGGGGGATTTTTGGACCTTCGGGGGGCATTGTTGGGGCATTTTTTGGGCGATTTTCGGCGAAAAATGAAAAACAAGTACCTTACAAATAGTAAAACAATAGTCACAAAATAGTCCAAGGACTGTTTTTGTGGGTATTTTGGGACCTTTGGGGGGCATTTTTGGGGTATTTGTTTTATTTGTCGTCGACAATCCCCCTGTAGGGGGACACGCCCGACGTGACGTCAAGGTCTTCCGGGTCGTCATGATGGCCGTCCTGCCCGCCGTGTCGGGCGCCCTGCTCAACGTGAAGCACGTGCTCGTCCCCGCCCTGCTGTGCGGCCTCTGAGGGCGGCATCCGCCGCACGGGTCGTGCCGCTGTGCCCTGCCACCTCTCCCGGGTTCGCCTTCCATTCCTCGGCAACGCGCAGAGGGGGGCAGGGGGAGGGGGGAGGGCTTCCTGGAGGCACCCCTGCTTCTCAGAAGGCGCGGGCCTTCTCTATAGACGTAAGGCCCAGGCCTTCTAAGAAGCCGGGTGCTTCTAAGAAGCCTTCCCCCCTCCCCCTACCCCCTTTTGCGCGCCGCCAAGTTCCTGCCCCCGGCCTTCTCGCGCTCTCTCTCTCTCTCTCTGTCCGCCGGCAGCGTTACCCGTGTGTCATGTTGATGCGGATTGCACGATGGGAAAGAGCGTGTCCTGCCGCTGCTGGCAGAACACCGTGGGGGGGTCACTGGGGGTTTCAAACCCGCCCCCCTCCTCAAAAACCGGGGGCAATCACTGGGGGTTCCAAACCCGCCCCCGCCCCCTCCCCGGTCGTCCACCATGAAAAGGTGGGGTCACTACATGTTCGACTCCCCCCCCTTCTCGCCGCCGGCAAACGACTCTCCCTCCTCCCCCACTTCGGATGGAGGACTCTGGTGGGGACGGTGGTTGGGACGGTCTTGGGGATGGTGGTGGGGATTGGGGAAAGTGGGACAGTGGTGACGACAGTGCGGACAGTGGGGAAAGTGGGATCGTGGCGGGGACAGTGGTGGGGACAGTGGGGACAGTGCGACAGTGGTGTGGGCACAAGTGGGGACAGTTGGGACAGTGGTGGGAACAGTGGGGACAGTGGGACACTGCTGGGGACAGTGTGGACAGTGGGACAGTGGTGGGGACGGTGGTGGTGAGGACAGTGATAAAGGCGGCGGTGAGGACGGTGGTGGGGCAAATGGACAGTGGTACAGTGGGGACAGTGGTGGGGACAGTGGAGAGATTGGGACAGTGGTGGGGACAGTGGGGACAGTGGGACAGCACAGTGGGACAGTGGTGGGGACAGTGGGACGGACAGTGGTGGGGACAGTGGGGACAGTGCGACAGTGGTGGGGACAGGGGGGGGAGTGGGACCGTGGTGGGGACAGTGCCGGGGGGACAGTGCGACAGTGGTGGGGGCACTGGTGGGGACAGTGGGGACATTGGTGGGAGCAGTGGAGACAGTGGGACAGTGGTGGGGACACTGGGGTCAGTGGGACAGTGGTGGGGACGGTGGTGGTAAGAACAGCGGGGAGGGCGGTGGTCAGGACGGTGGTGGGGACCTAGGAGTCGTTTGCCGTCGGCGAGTGTGGGAGGTGGGGGGTTCGAACTGGTAGTGACCCCCCCGGTTTTTCCAGAGGGGAGGTGTTCGAACCTGTAATTAGTGACCCCTCCCGGTTTTCCAGAGAGGGTGGGTGGGTTCGAACCAGTAGTGACCCGCCCACGGTTTTCCGGGGGGGCGGGGGGGTGGATGGGGGGGAAGGGTTCTTCCCGGGGGAGGTGGGGGGGTTCGAGCAGGGGGGGATTTTCGGGGGGGGGACCCCCGGGCTCCTCAGGAAGAGGGGGGGCATTTTCCACAGCAAAGCGGCGGTGGATCACGTTCTCTCCACGATGGATATCTGAATATTGTGTGTTTCCTGATAGGCCAGACAGCAGCACGGCTATCACCAGCTGATACGCATCGGCTAACATCCAGGTCTTTCTGTTAGGAGGTCTGCAGAAGCGGCTCCACTTTTTCTGCCATGTGGTATGCACGGCGGAGGAGATCTTGTGCGGACCAGCTGGTACGCATTGCCTAACATCCAGGTCTTTCTGTGAGGAGGTTTGCAGAAACGGCTCCACTTTTTCTGCCATGTGGTATGCACGGCGGAGGAGATCTAGTGCGGACCAGCGCAAGCATTCTTTTTGTCAGGAGGTCTGCAGGAGTGGCTCCACTTTTTCTGCCATATGGTATGCGCGGCAGCGGAGATCTTGTGCACACCAGCGCAAGCATCGATTACATTCTTTGTCTCACTGGTTCACGCTGACCCGGCTGAGCAGGCGCAACGTTGAGCTGATGAGGTTCGGCCGTTGGGTCTGTCATTGCAAACGGATGTGCATAGCTGGTTCTGCGAGTGCCATCAGTCCGTTCGCCTAGCCGACTCAGCTGGGACGGATTTGTTATATTCGTAACTTCCGTTGGGGTGGATAGAAGTGAGGGGTTGCTTCGGGGTCGGGTACTCCGAGTCGAGTGACGATGTTTATACGTTTCGGATTCGCGTCAGTTGTAACTCCTCACTTCGACGTTCGCCGCCATGTCCTGTACAATGATCGCTCGAGTATCGGCGTTATGTGTCCTGGAGGGGCCCGTCGTTTTTCTACTTCAGTTGAATCTGGAGTGCGAGAGATGACTCTTGATCGTGTGTGGGCCGCGGTTCTGAGGCTCGACCGTTCAAGGTATCTGAATTGCCCAGAGTTGGCTGCATCAGTGGCGACGGTAACCTGGCCCATGGGCAAGCTGCTGATGTTGCGGTCTGGGCCTCCTGCCTCCTCATCTTCCTCCCATTTCCCGCTCCTTTTTCTCCCCTTAGCTCCTCCTCCCCCCTCCCTTCCGGCGCCGCCGCCGCCTCCTCTTCGTCGTCGTCCTCGTCCCCTATTGCTTGTCCTTATGAATCACTTCTCCCTGTCGCACCCCGAGGCCAGTCAAAAGGGCGGGCCGGGCGTTTCGCCTGAGACTGTCTCACAATTTATGACCCTGGAGCTTGAACGTTGGCAACCGTTTCACGATGGAGGGCGGACCGGTTTCGAGATGTGGCTCTCGCCTTAGCGCCGCGCGCAGTCGTTTTAGACATTTGCAAGAGTTTCACGGATTAAGCGCGGGCCATTTCAAGATGTGGTTCTCGTTTAGCGTCGCGCACATTTGTTTGTAATTTTTCGCAAGAGTTTCACGGGTTTAAGGGTGGGGCGTTTTCAAACTGTGGCTCTCGCCTTAGCGTTGCGACCATTTTTTGTAAACATTTGCAAACACTTCACGTAGTGAGGGCGGGGCGTTTTCGAAATGTGGCTCTCGCTTCAGCGCCGCGCACATTCGTTTCAACAATTTTCACGGATTGAGGGCGGGTGGTTTTCAACATGTGACTCTCGCCTTAGCGCCGCGCACATTCGTTTTGAAAACTTGCAAGAGCTTCACGGATTGAGGGCGGTTCCTTTTCAACATGTGGCTCTCGCCTTGGTGCCGCGCACATTCTCTGTAAACATTTGCAAGAGTTTCACACATTGAGGGCGGGTCGTTTTTAACATGTGGATCTCGCCTTAGCGCCGCGCACATCCTTTGTAAACATTCGCAAGAGCTTCACGGAGTGAGGGCTGGGCGTTTTCGAAATGTGGCTCTCGCTTCAGCGCCACGCACATTCGTTTCAGACGTTTGCAAGAGTTTCACGGATTGAGGGCGATTCCTTTTCAAAATGTGGCTCTCGCCTGAGCGTTGCGCACATTTTCCGTAAACATTTGCAAGAGTTTCACGGGTGGAGGGCCGTTCGTTTTCAAAATTTTGTTCTCGCTTCAGTGCCGTGCAGATTGCGTTCCAGTACTTGTGTGTTGGAAAGATTCACGATTATGAGGGTGCAACTGTTTATTCGCAGTGTTGAAGCCCCTGGAATGGCGTTCTGGCACGATTCAGGATCGTCAAGACGCAACAGTCAGGTGGATCCGTGACGTTGGAGTCCCGAGAATAATGTTGCGGCACGCTGCAGGCTCTTCAAACGGTTGTTTTCCAACGGGACAGTTCCCTCTGTGGACATGAACCCTTGTAGGGGCCTGTGAGGAGGGAGCTTGGAGGGAGGGTTTGCTCCAACATCGTTGATGACTCTTGGGTTTGCATTTGCCCTCCTCCTTATCCTCCTCCTCCTCTGCCTCCTCTTCTTCTTCGTCTTTTTCTTCTTCTTCTTCTTCTTTCCACTAGTATTTTTTTTCTCATTATTCTTCTTATTCATATTCATCTTATTTTTCTTATTCTTCTTCGTCGTCGTCTTCTTCTTCTCTCCTCCTCCTCCTCCTCCTCCTCCTCCTCCTCCTCCTCCTCCTCCTCCTCCTGATGGCCCGACTGCTGGACAGATGGCCCGCGCTGCGGGAGGCCCCCCCCCCTCTGCACGCCCGGAGATCCTGCTGGCCCGGCGGCCGCTGGGGCGTGCCGCGCCGGCGGCGTTCGGCCGAGGGTCCGAGGTCTCCCGGGGGCTGCTAGAAGTGCCCCTGGCCCAAGTCAGGAGGGGAAAAAACACACAGACACAATTAATCGTCGATTCCCTGGAAAATATAGAAAATATGGGAATTGGGCGGGAAGACAACAGCCCAGAAAATATAGGAAAATATGGGGAATATTTTTATTTGTGTGTATTTATTTGTGTGTCCCAGGGCCCCTTCACCAAGGTGCCCCCAGGATTTCCAAGGAGGCCCCCACGGCCTCCAGAGAAGCCCTCGCGAGGCCCAGGGAGCCCCAGGGGCTCCAAAATGGAGCGAGAAGCCGAGGGCACCTCGGGCCAGGTGCACCTTTGGCATCCCCCGAGTCTCCCCGAGCGGAGCCGTCCGGGCCATGCCGAACCTGAGATCTCGGCGTCTCAATTTTTTTGAGCTGGGGCGTTTCCGCTTTTTCTGGGGCACGGGACCCTCACAGATCGATGCAGCTCGAGAAATGGCGCGGACAGATGGGGTCTAGGGTTCCAGGCGCGACTTTTCACGGCGTCTCAATCTTTTTGAGACGTCGGATCTCAGGGGATTGGCGCGCTGGCGGTGTTTGGCCGAGGCTCCGAGTCAATCAGTGGCGAAGTGTCCTGGCGTGCCAAAATGCCCACCAAAGAATGTTCTAAGAACCTTCTGTGGTCTGCACGACATGTTCTCAGAATATTTTTGGCCAGGGCTGTCTTGGTTTAGCACACTGGGCTGGTGTTCGAAGACAATTAATTGTTTTTGTTGTTAGAACATTGTTGGGGCTGGGTTCTAAGAACATTTCGTGGCACAGTCGGCCCAGACTAGTGGGCCGACCCTGCCCAAGGCAAGGGTACCTTCGTGTCCTCTGTCTCGCGACCCGTGCCTCCTGCATTCCTGTGGCAGTGTGGCCCTCGGAAGGGTCTTGTGTCCTCTCGCGTGTCCTCTCCAATCAAGGTCGACTGTAGGCCTAGGGTCGGGGCGCTGAAGAAGGAACCCTTCTCGTTGGGGAGGGGCTCTGTGTTTCTCCAGTGTTTCACAGTTTGCCCTAGATTTTCTCCAGATTTTCGATGGGAAGCCAAAGTCTAACTTATGGAAAAAAAGGGGCCTTGTTCCTTATTTGTCAGGAGGGGAAAAAACACACAGACACAATTAATCGTCGATTCCCAGGAACATATAGGAAAATATGGGGAGTGGGGGGGAAGACAAAGTC